AAAATAAATAAAAATTAGGAATTTATTTCAGATAATACATTTGCTTTAAATGATGAATTACAGAATCCAGAAAAAAAAATCAAACAGAATTAGGTGGGAAATAACAATGTAATTAAATGTAGCTGCTCTGTGGAGTTTAGTTGTAAACAAACAAGTTTTTACATTAATTCTTGAGGTCTAACAAGCATGTGGAAAGCATTTCCTTCCCCATTAATGACATATTTAAATTTGTTTAAACATCAATATCATATGATATGAAAAATAATAATAATAATATTTTGGGCCATATTGCCCAGCCCTACTAACCACTCACTTCAGCATATGACTGAACCTGGTAAACGGTAATGTGCTACTGTTACCACACACTTAACTGCTATATGACACCTAATTAATATTCATGATCTCAGCTGAGAAGGTTTATAATATGCACCACACACTTTTCAGATCATTCCTAATGCCTTGAGGATTGAGATCATGAGCTTGAACGACATGATCAACCTGTCATTTCTCACTGATTTTAAGATTAAAGTCGTGTTTAAGGATGATAGAAACATTATTCCAGAACCAACAGAAAATGCTGAAACCCGCAAATACACATCAGACTTCCTTCAAGATATCCGTCCTCATTGGTCCAAAACACACAGACTTCCAGATGAGGTTGTTTGCTTGTCATGTTCACTTTGTCTTTTCAGTACAAATCACATGCCTGAGATGGTTCCTGTTGGACAGCAGTTCAGCTCTTGCAAAGTCAGTGTGAGCGGAGAATGTGACCCGTCAGGTCATCACATCTTGAAAGAGCAGAACCACCTGCTCATGTGCAGCGTCCCATTACAGTTAAATTAGCATCAGGCTGCTTTTAATATCCTCTGCCAAAAAAGGCACAGTGAAGCGGATGTGTGTCAGTTTTGAAAGATATTTCCTCAACTAGACTTTCAGAGGGTCACACGTCCCTCATTCACACACTACTGTTGTTTTTCTTGGCCCGGGGGGTCAATAGAGAGTTTTAGAGCGATCGTAAAGTAACCAAACACAGCGCTGACAATAATTTACACGTACACATAAAAGTGAACCGAACTGATTTCAAGGCTTCTCAAACAGGTCCTTCTTTTTCTTTTCCACTCCATTACTTTCCAGCGGGAATACTAGAGCAAATCCTGGAATGTTGGTGTAGGGATACTTTCCCCCCCAAAATCCCAGATCTGCCAAAATAAACCTCCTCAACAAGAGCTGCACATGTCCAGCTACTCCAGCGTCAGGAAATGCCTGGAGAGAGCTGGGGTCTGAATCAATAAACCGCATTCAAACAAAGACAAACCTGTCGAGTCACAGGAAGAGGAACAGCACGTTTCCTGCGCTGACGCTCTTCTTTACAGTAGCGCTATCTGTGTCGCCCATCCCACTAGTTATCTGACTCTCACCCGTCCATTGGCTCCAACTTCACAAAGGGATAGTTCACCCAAAAATGACATCATTTACTCACTCCTATGTCGCTCCGAATCTGTGTGACTTTCTCTCTTCTGGGAAGCACTAAAGCTCAAGAGCCAGTGTTTTTGATACAATGAAAAGCACCATATTCACTTTACATTTCGCATGTTCTTAAGTGGTATGATAACTCCAGGCATCAATTACACCTAACATCTTGAGTAATGTAAATTTAGAGGATGTATAAATATTTTTGGATACCTATATATGATACAGTTTGAATATCAATCACGAGGGATTTCATTAAATCATGAAAACTCACGAAACCTTAACTTGTGTTGGGTCAAGGCCCCAAAAATGTGCTGTATTTTCATAGACTCATTTTAATTTGATTAAATAGATATTTTCATCCCCATACATCTGACAGCAGGATTGCATTAGGTCGGGTGGATCTGATCTGCCAGTCAAAGTTTCCACTGCCATTCAAAAGTTTGGGATCAGTACAATTTTTAATGCATTTGAAAGAAGTCTCTTATGCTTGTCAAGGCTGCATTTTTTGGGGGGGAAATACAGTAAAATTATTACAACTTAAAATAACTGTTTTCTATCTTAATGTATTTTAAAATGTAATTTATTCCTGTGATCAAAGCTGAATTTTCAGCATCATTACTCCAGTCTTCAGTGTCACATGATCTTCAGAAATCATTCTAATATGCTGATTTGCTTTTAACAATGTTGAAAACAGTTGTGCTGCTTCATATTTTTGTGGAAACTGACTTTTTTTTTTCAGGATTATTACATGAATAGAAAGTTCAAAAGAATAGCAGAATAAAATAATTTTGTAACATTATAAATAATGTAATGCATTCATTCTAAATATAAATATTAATTTCTTAAAATCTTTCTGACCCCAAACTTTTGAACGGTAATGTATTTTGTAACAGTAAGGTAACACGTGATTGGGAAATGGGAGTGTAATTTTGTCAGTGAGTGTCTGTACATCTGTCCGCTGTCACCTCTGTATGCCGACACAGCAATTATTTTTGTGTTTTGCAGATGGGATTCTTCAGGAGGCATTACAGAGAGATCATAGAGGCCGAAAAGAACAGGAACGACAGCGATGAAAGCTGGGATTGGGTCCAGAAGAGCCAATGAATGCTTGGACTGGGTTCAGAAAATCCAATAAGCTGCTACCTTCACCACGGCAAGACCCAGACCCTCCAGCCTTCCTTATGTGGAAGAAAAGAATAAGGAGGCATTACAGAGAGATCATAGAGGCCGAAAAGAACAGAAAGGACAGCGATGAAAGCTGGGATTGGGTCCAGAAGAGCCAATGAATGCTTGGACTGGGTTCAGAAAATCCAATAAGCTGCTACCTTCACCACGGCAAGACCCAGACCCTCCAGCCTTCCATATGTGGAAGAAAAGAATATTCTCCAGATTTTTCGGAGGTTTGACACTTTTTTTTTTTGTAGTTGATGGTGATCTAGCTGATGTTGGAGGTGACCGTGTGGCCTGCCAGAAGAGACTCGCAGTGGAACTCCACTGATCCCAATGTGACAGGCCTCTTGCCAGTGGGTCTGAAGAGACGGAAAGAGAGACTTCCTGGAACGAATGTGGATATCGTGTCAATACTAGCAGACAATTACAACCCTCAGGGCGCTGTTGAAAAGCAAAAATCTATTTTTTATAAAATGTATTCCATACTGTATAGAAGAGAGCTTCAAGAGTTGTCTTTAAAGCACTGATGACTGACACACGCCAAAGAGTTGATGTTACTCCTTCACAGTGTTCTGGTGCACATCAGTTTTCAGATGAACCTTGAAGTTGGATTGTACCTCTTTATCCCCTCAAGATTTTAACTTACAAAGAATCAAAGCAAAAGTTTATGTCCTTCGTTCAGACAACTCGTGAGTTATTAAATGTCGCATGAACAAATGAGAATGACGAGATGCAAACCAAACTAAGCTGTTATTGCTCAAGTTGTTAAAGGATGAAAATTAGCTGAAAATGCACTCATCCTCAGGCCACACAATAATCAACACGACTCCATTAAAAGTTAAAATGCCTTGATGCATTTTTTTTTATGCAGCTTTTCACTTCACAAGACTGGAGTGGTGTGAATTATTGTGATGTTTTTATCAAATGTTTGGACTCTCATTCTGATGGCACCCATTCACTGCAGAGCATCCATTGGTGAACAAGTGATTGAATGCTAAATTTCTCCAAATCTGATAAAGACACAAACTCATTTACATCTTGGATAACCTGAGGATGAGTATTTTCAGACAATTTTCATTCAAGTTCAGTCCAGTTGTACCTAAAACAGAAAGAGAAAACCTTATAAGTTCTCAGCTCAAACCTGTTTTTTTAAATATATGTGAAATTCACAGCTTAGAGTATTATTTGTACTGCACTGGATTTTGACTCCACTGAAAGATGCATGTTATTCCAAAGGAAAAGGTTTTGTTTCATAGTCTTTCACAAAAATATATAAACTTTCTCTGACTAAATCTTATTTCACACAGAAATGTTGAAATTGGTTGACTTCTGGTTGTCTAAGATCTCAAAAGCTATTTTATAGAACATTATGTAAGGGACCCATTCCAAGTTACGAATTACAATTCTACTGTAAGTATAAAAACACTTTAATCTGCCAAAAATTCTCCCAAGAATTCTTACAGCATGTTCTGTGTTATTCTTCTACTACAGTATACATGACACCATACACCACGTCTCCTGCTTTTTAACAAGTTTCATGAAGTTCAGACTGCACAGGCCCAGGTTTTAGCCATGCAGAACCTGCAGTGTGTAATGGCCTAAAAATAGGTGGGAAGTGCAGTACTTCATCACTGGGTACAAGCTCGTACTTGGGAGCTTATGGGAACAGCTTGTTTTGTCAACATTTTGGACTTCACTCAGAGCGCAGCTCCAACATGAGCTGTTCACTGTCAGATTTCACATCCATTCTGCCTTTAACTGTGCTGAGCAGAAACAGCACAGAGCCTAAATATGTTTGATCGTCTTTTCAATATAGAGCTTTTAAAATATCTCATCTGAAAAAATGAACTTTATTCAATGAACTTGGTTGCTTGTTTTTTGCATTTTCCTTTCTTTGACGTTGACTGATCAGTAGCTTTGCAATTGGATATTAGATGATCTCTGGAAGATTCTCCAAAAAATCTATCTCGTATGATTTGATTAATAATCACCACTGGCATGGCAAAACCACGTCTGCATTTCACGTCCGGCCCAACACCAGGTTCTTGCATAGATGTGTTTCAGAGAGACACATACTTGACTTTGTAAATGTGTAACCGAACTGTGAGTGTTGTTGCCATTATCACCTATTTTGAGCTTTTTAGAATAAACTACTGTCACTGATGTTTTATAGATGTATTGAGAAATATGTTTGTTGTACAAGCTCAAGCTATATATATTTATCTACTGAAACTGCTTTTTTAAAATTAAACAATCACAAACAGATGTTTCGACTCAGTTTTGTTCGGTGCCCCCCAAAATATTTAGTTCAGTGGGGTGTTTCTTGTTGCACAGATGCCCTCTAGTGTAATACTAGCATACTGTTTACACTCCTGTTTTTTTTTAGTATGTGACAAAATTCATTGTACAATACATAAGTAAATGCTAAAGAAGTATGAATTTAAAAAGTGGTGTCCAGTTATCTTATAAATGTATTTAAAAAGGTTCTTTTGGATTTTATGTAGTGTTGTTTTAGTTTCATTGAGATGCTATTAAAGTTTTTCTTAATATTGTGAATCGGTTTATATATATATATATGTATCACCCCCTTTAAAATAATAAAATGTTGTTGCTTTGCAGCCTGAAATGAAGACGGACATAGTTTTTGTTTTATCCAGATGTATTTACTCAGTGCAACTTATAACCAAGTGAAAGACATAACAACATGTCAGAAAAAAAAATTAAAACCAGAATCACTGAGTTGGAAAAAGGATCAGCCCCTTGTGTCAGTATTTTGTTGAACCACCTTTTGCTTCAATTACAGCCTTTAGTCTGTTGGGATTTGTCTTTACTAACTTTGTACATCTAGGCTTTGCCATATTTGTCCACTCTTCTTTGCAGAACTGCTCAAGTTCAGTTCAATTTGATGGTGAGCCTTTGTGGACTGCAGTCTTCAAGTCATTCCTCAGATTTTCAGTGGGGTTTAAGTCTGGGCTCTGACTAGGCCATGCAAGGACATTCACCTTTTTCTCCTTCAACCACTGTGTGCTTTGGGTCATTGTCATGTTGGAAGGTAAATACAGTAAAATGAGTAAAATGTTATGAGTAAAAATTATATATAAATAATTTGAAATTTGAAATTGAAATTATGGAAATTCATTGTATTGTGGGGTACAGTATTACAGTTGTAATGGTAAATTACTTAACATGGTAACCATGGGACATCTGAGAGCCAAACAAACAGTGCTGTCCCATAGTAAATGCACTGCATTATTCATTAGCTGCTACTGTGTGACAGGCAGAGCACTTGCATGGAGCTACTACACCACCAGGTAAATGTTCATTTTAAAATATTCAATTGGCAAAGAAGATCTTCACTTAGCTGCTTATATCAAACATTTTAATATTATTCCATAAATGTCAGTATGAAAAATCGTTTGACCTGACAACTGTTTAAAAGCTAAAATTAGAGTAACGTAAAAAAATGTTTCCCCTAGTAGAATGCATTCATACTGTATATATTGACATGTATTCTGTTACAGTGTAAGAAAAATGACATCTATACTGGAGGATGGCTTGATAAAAACAAGCTCAATAGAGCAGGTGGTGGCCCCTCTGTCCTCTCACCTGTGTCGTCTCATCCTACTGTGCGGGAGCGAGACAGAACTGGATGAATTCACCCGGCTGGAAGCTGCAGCTAAAGCGGTGGCCAAAGCATCCAAACACATGGCAGCTGTAGCAACAAGGTCAGTTGCATGTATTTTTCCTGACAGGATAGAAAGTGAAGCGCATAAATATTTACATTACAAAAATTATATTTAGTAAAATAAATGCTGACATGAAAGTTGCTTTGCCTCATTAAAACAAAAATTGTTTTTAATGAGATAATTGTGTGTAAATATATAGTTAAAAAATGTGCTTTGTTGCTTAAAGAAAACGTACCCAGGCAGCACCATGCTAAAGTGAGGGAATTAGGTTGTAATACTATGGTACATGTTCAAAAACAACATGGTGTTACTATGGTGCATGTACAAAAAAAAAAACAATAGCTTGGTACCAAAAACATACCATGGTATTGCATTGTGGTTTGTACTAAATGTGTTACTGGGTACACAGAAGGCGGACATTCACATTATACTTCATATCCTTGCTTTTAGGTTAGTGGAGGATACCGATGATGATATCCTGAAGATGGAAATGGATCCACTCGTGGAATCCCTGACTGTTTCTGGTCAGCACGTGCTCCTGGCCACCCAAAAGCTCAGCATACAACCGGAGATCATAGAGCACAGAGAAGAACTCATTGAAGCCACTCAAAATGTGCTGTTAGGTGTGGTCAAGGTAATACTTGTTTTATTTGTAAAGAAAAATAATTGCATTTAGAAATTAGGGAGTTATGAGATGTGTTCTTTATCCAGCAAATGAACTCAGCTCCTGGAGGGCCACAGTCCTGCAAGAAAAATGACATCTATACTGGAGGATGGCTTGATAAAAACAAGCTCAATAGAGCAGGTGGTGGCCCCTCTGTCCTCTCACCTGTGTCGTCTCATCCTACTGTGCGGGAGCGAGACAGAACTGGATGAATTCACCCAGCTGGAAGCTGCAGCTAAAGCGGTGGCCAAAGCATCCAAACACATGGCAGCTGTAGCAACAAGGTCAGTTGTATGTATTTTTCCTGACAGGATAGAAAGTGAAGCGCATAAATATTTACATTACAAAAATTATATTTAGTAAAATAAATGCTGACATGAAAGTTGCTTTGCCTCATTAAAACAAAAACAGAGATAATTGTGTGTAAATATATAGTTAAAAAATGTGCTTTGTTGCTTAAAGAAAACGTACCCAGGCAGCACCATGCTAAAGTGAGGGAATTAGGTTGTAATACTATGGTACATGTTCAAAAACAACATGGTGTTACTATGGTGCATGTACAAAAAAAAAAACAATAGCTTGGTACCAAAAACATACCATGGTATTGCATTGTGGTTTGTACTAAATGTGTTACTGGGTACACAGAAG